AGACTGACAAGGGCTTAACTTCCAGAATAAACAATTCATACAACTTAATAAGAAATTAAGCCCTTGTCAGAAAACTGCAGCTGCCCAGTTTTCCTAACACCATTTGCTGAAGAGACTATCTTTACTCCATTGTATATTCTTGCCTTCTTTGTCAAAGATTAATTGACCAAAATTTTGTGGTGTTATCTCTGGGCTCTCTGTTCTGTTCCATTGATCCATATGTGTGTTTTTGTGCCAATACCAAGCTGTTTTGATTACTATAGCTCTGTAGTATTGTCTAAAGTCTGGGAGGGTTATTCCTCCAACTTCATTCTTTTTCTTCAGTATTGCTTTGGAAACTCTGGATCTTTTGTGAATCCATATAAATTTTAGGATTATTTGTTCTAGTTCTTTGAAAAAAGTCTTGGGTAATTTGATAGGGATCACACTAAATCTGTAGCTTACTTTGTGTATTAAGGCCATTTTAACAATATTAATTCTTCCAATCCAAGAACATGGGATATCTTTCTATTTCTTTAAGTCATCTTTAATTTCCGTAGTCAGTGTTTTGTAGTTCTCCAAGTATAAGTCTTTCACTTCCTTGGTCAGATTTATTCCCAAGTATTTTAGTTTTTTGGATGCAATTTTAAAAGGGATTGTTTCTTTCCTTTCCTTTTCTGGTATTTCATTGTCAGTGTAAATAAATGCTGCTGATTTCTGTATGTTGTATCCTCCGACCTTGCTGAATTCTTTTATCAACTCTAGTAGTTTTTTTTGTGGAGCCTTTAGGGTTTTCTATATATAGTATCATATCATCCACATATAGTGACAATTTTACCTCTTCTCTTCCACTTTTACCTCTACCTCTTCTCTTCTCTTTGGATCCCTCTTAGTTCTTTTTCTTGTCTAATTGCTGTGGCTAGGACTCCCAATACTATAGACTAAACAGCATGCCACTAAAAAACTGATGGGTCAAAGATGAAATCAAAGAAGAAATTAAAAAATACCTTGAGACAAATGACAATGAAAATACAGCCACACAAAATCTATGGGATGCAGCAAAAGCAATCCTAAGAGGGAAGTTCATAGTGATACAGGCCTTCCTCAAAAAACAAGAACAATTTCAAATAAACAACCTAACCTACCACCTAAAAGAATTAGAAAAAGAAGAATAAATAAGACCTAAAGTCAGTGGAAGGAAAGAAATAATAAAAATCAGGGAGGAAATAAATAAAATAAAGATTAAAAAAAAAGGAAAAATCAAGCAAACCAAGATCTGGTTTTTTGAAAAAGTAAACAAAATTGACAAACCTCTGGCCAGGCTCACCAAGAAGAAAAGAGAGAGGACACAAATAAAATAAGAATTGGAAATGGAGAAATTACAACGAACACCACAGAAATACAAAAAACCATAAGAGAATACTATGAACAACTATATTGCAATGAATTGGACAACTGAGAAGAAATGGACAAGTTTCTAGAAACATACAGTCCACCAAAACTGAATCAAGAAGAAATAGATCATTTGAACAAACCAATCACTGAAAGTGAAATAGAGTAAGCAATAAAAAACCTCCCTGCCAACAAAAGTCCAGGACCAGATGGCTTCACTTGGGAATTCTATCCAACATACCAAGAAGAGCTCATACCAGTCCTTCTCAGACTCTTCCAAAAGATCAAAGAGGAGGGAGTACTCCCAAACTCATTCTATGAAGCCACCATCACCCTGATACCAAAGCCAGACAAAGACACTACCAAAAAAGAAAACTATAGGCCAATATCATTGATGAACATTGATGCAAAAATCCTCAACAAAATATTAGCAAACAGAATCCAACAGCACATAAAAAAGATCATACATTGTATTTAAGTTGGATTCATCCCAGGGACACAAGGATGGTTCAGCATACACAAATCAATTAATGTGATACACCACATCAACAAGAGAAAGGACAAAAACCACACGATCATCTCAATAGATGTAGAAAAAGCATTTGATAAAATTCAACACCCATTCATGATAAAAACTCTCACCAAAGTGGGAATAGAGGGAATATATCTCAACATAATAAAAGCTATATATGACAAACCTACAGCCGGCATAATAATCAATGGTGAGAAATTGAAAGCCTTTCCACTAAAATATGGCATAAGACAAGGATGCCCACTCTCACCACTTCTATTCAATACAGTGTTGGAAGTCACTAACACTGTTGTAAAGGCTTCAGTAATCAGCCTTCCTAATTACAGAGTTCAGTTTTCATTTCCATAAGCCCCTCAGATCACAGCCATGGGCATTCTCACCTTTTCTCTTGGCTTCTGTGACGCCCCCTGCTTCTAGTTACATTTTTACTTCTCTGGAAAAAAAACTTCTGTACCATAAATATTGACATTCCCCACAGTTTTATCCCTGGGCCATATTTTTCCCCTCACACTAATGTTCTTGTGCCAAGTGTTCTCAGTTTAAGTACTTATAAGCCAGTGATTTCTGACTTGATACAAAGCACTTGCTTAAAGAGAAATAACCTCTCATGGTTCGCAGAGCCAAAGAATTCCAGTGTCTGAGGAAAGGTTTCCAAAGAAAGAGGAAACTGAGGGACAGTAACCAGGGAAGAAGGACAGGGTTATAACGCCAGGGAGTTTTTTTGCTCTCTATGGAGATGTCAAGGCCGAGAACATGGGATTGTAAATGTCAGTAAGTAGTTGTTTTAAATTATCTGAAGATAAAAGGAAAACTAAGTTTAGGGGATTTTAAAAGATTTGCTACCTTTTAAAAATTTTAAAAGCCTTTTATGGAGAATATTTTAAATTTACAAAGTCGCAAGAATAAAATAGTGTAAGAACACTTATAAATTTTTATCTGGATTTACCTTTTTTAACATTTTGCCCCATTTGCTTTTGCATTTGTGACCTATCTATCCCTTTATCTATATCTAAATAAAGTTATGTATGTGCACACACAATTTATATACCTGTAGGTATATGTGTGTACATATGCACACAGTGTGTATGTCTATAGAGAAATACAATGTGTGCATATACATGTATCTTTATAGACAGATTAACACATTAGTCTATCATCCATGTTTTAATTTTGTGAGTTGACCTAATAATATTCTCTAATGCAGTTTTCTCCTTCCTGTAGAGGATCTAGTCTAGGTCAGGTAGTACATTTAGTTCTTTTTAGTCTTTTACTCTGAAATATTTCTATAGCCTTTTCTTATTTATAATACTATTTTTCTAAGATACAGCCCACCTCTTTTTAATGAGTTGTTCCTCATTTTGTGTTTGTGTGATGTCTCCTCACGATTATACTGAGGTTATGCATTCTTGGTTAGAACACTGCGTGGGTGATTCTTAAGTTTCACATCTGTAAGCACGTGATGTCCTTTGTCCCTCACTGATGTTAGTTTTGATCACCCGGTCAGGGTTTCTCTTGTAGACAGTCTTTTTTCTTCCCTCGGAGCCAATATGCAGTTTTTAAGGAGACACTTTAAAACAATACAAATACCCTATTCCCCAGAGTTTAGCGTCAATTGATGACTCTTACATGTTCTAAACTTTACTGTGACATTTGCAAAATGTTGGCTAATTCCAGTACTCTGTCCACATTTACCAGTGAGCCCTGGCATGCTGCTCTGAGAAGGACTTCTCCCTCCTCTCCCATTGGTTTGTCTATTTATTGTCAGTATAAACTTGTGAACTACTTTTTTCAGTGGTTTATAACTAATTACTTAACTATCTTGTTCCCTAAATTGTCCCGGATTTGGTGGCTGGGAGTCCCTCCAAGCTGACCCCTGTGTCCTTGTGACATGCTGTCATTTGTTTTCTTCTTCCTTTCTTTCTAGTATAAGACGACAGTGCAGTTCATCTTGTAGTCCTCTGCCTAGTCCAGGGATTAGCCATTTCTCTAGGAGCCTTTTAGGGGAATGGTATTAGAAACCAAGGTCTGGGTGCACATCATTGTTACTGAGATGTCTTTGCTTCTTGGCTTTTTCAAGTAGAACTCGAAAATATACGTCTGTATCATGTGTGTGTGCGGGCATATATACACACGTACACATATGTAATTTGGACATGGATATGCACATAAGCATAGATTTGCATTGCTAAACATGCTTTTTAAATCTTTTTCATTTTGTAATATAATGAAGTGGGGAATGGGTTACTTATGCAGTTGTATATTTGATGTTCAGGCAGTTTTTTATGTGTTGTGCCCATTTGATGAAAAGAGCTGGTGAAGTAATACGTAATCACATGTATTATATATATATATATATGGAAATATCCTCTGGACCTTCCATAGTTCTTAAGTTTTAATTACTAACTTCATATTATTGATGCAAATATGTTTCACAGTTGGGGCTTGGGTACTGTATTTAGTTCCAAGTATAGTTTTTTATATATAATTTACACAGTTATCTTCTATATTTAATGATAGTGAAGAATTGTACTGAGTAAGTTTGAGTCTGTTATGTTACTTTATATATGTGGAATTACTAGTTTCCTTTCTTAAGATATATGTATTTTTAATAGTTGTAGAGGAGCGGAGTTTGTCATGCCACATGAGAATCTTGTCATGATTCTTCACTGTAGAAGTTTGTAACTGAAAGATTTGTGATGAAGAAATGTCACATAGGGCAGTGGTATAGCTTCTGGGTTATAAGGTCATGGGATCAGTAGAGGGCATCAAAGTTGACTTCCCACGCATGACATGTGGCCGGCCAGCCCCTGGCTGCAGGTGTCTGAGAGGAGATCTCTGTGAGAGCGTGTGGAACACCTGCCATCTTCGACTACACCACTGATTTTTTGATGAGCTGTACTATGTCATTGGCTAGACCTAAGGGTTCAGTGTTAGTGGAGGGTAAGAATTAGATTTTAAGGTTATTATGTTTTAGATTAGCTTCTAATGTGAACCATTTTCCCTTTAAAACAGTGGCAAATTGTGATTTCTGAAGGTAACTGATTCTTCTGTTGGTGTGTAATCTGCGAATTAACCAGACTGTTGCATTTTCTTCCAGTGTTGTTTGGCTATGCCACTACAGTCATCCCCAGGGTGTACACGTACTATGTTTCAACGGCATTATTTGCCATTTTTGGCATTAGAATGCTTCGGGAAGGCTTAAAGATGAGTCCGGATGAAGGTCAAGAGGAGTTAGAAGAAGTTCAAGCAGAATTAAAGAAAAAAGATGAAGAAGTAAGTCAGAGCACTGTTAAGTACCAGGACCAAAAAGGCACTCAACTATTAAGAGTAAATACTGTCCAGGGGTTTTCAGTGGTCATGCACACCTGTGATGCGTGTGGACTGCACAGAAATAGCTATTTTGCTTAGTTTCCATTCTTAATCTGGCTCTGGTGTGACTCTGGGTTAGTGTGAATGTGGTGAGAAGAGTGAACACGTGCAATCAAGTTCCTTAATTAGACTAATTATAAGCTCCTGAAAAACAGGAACTGTAGTTTATCATTTTCTTTCCACAGCATCTAAGATAACAAGTGATCAGTAAATATTGTTTGATTTATTTTGTTGGGGAGAAACAGAAGAATTGAGAATATAGGACTTGGCTGCTGTGTGAGACCAGTGGTCCGAAAGCCAAGTTTGGGGTCACATAACTTTAGTTCCTCAGGATATTCCCAGAGAATTTAAACACCTTTTAAAGGAAAGATTAAGTAATTTTGTGCTATACTGACTTGGTTCCTGAGATTAATGTCTTTTATGCTATTTTTTTTTTTCAATTTAGTTCCAACGCACCAAACTCTTAAATGGGCCAGGAGATGTTGAAGCGGGTACAAACACAACGATACCTCAGAAAAAGTGGCTGCATTTTATTTCACCCATCTTTGTTCAAGCGCTTACATTAACGTTCTTAGCAGAATGGGGTGATCGCTCTCAGCTGACTACAATTGTTTTGGCAGCTAGAGAGGTGAGTGGTACTTGAGAGATGACTGCTTCTGTATTAAAACTCAGTGTAACTAATGCTACTTTGCTCCAGAGGGACACTGGGCAGACTCAGGGTGGGCCGTGGGGTGACTTCATGTGCTAGACTGTTTGTTTTAAATCTAATCACCCTGCAGCTCTTTAAAACCAGCCTCTCCAGTTTTTGCCATCGGCCAGATGGCTCTCTTTTGACTCCTTTTCCCTTCAGTTTTGCCAAAACGATGGTGTGGCAGTTGCTGTGACTTAGTTTTCTTTTCTCAGAACTTTCCTTTGTGAACTTGTTGAGGACATAAATTGGTATATTATTGTTGGAGGCCAATTTGGCAACAAATACCTAAAGCTTTAAAAGTAGAAATCTTCGGGTCCTTCCATTCCTTGTGCAAAAGAAATGCTGGTGTGTTACAAAGGTTACTTAGAACATTTGTTAAGTCGGCCCCACAACGCTGAGTCCTAGGAGGGTGGGCTAGAGAGGCCGCAGGTCACCTTGCTCTAGGCCGGCTCTGCAGGCGGAGAACCTGAGGCCCGGGGGCAGGTCGGGAGGGGGGCTTGTCCGAGGGTGTAAGCTGGGTGGTGGCCAGGAGGGACAAGGACTAGAGCCAGGCCGTCTGCCTTCCAGCCTTCTCTGCTGCATCTGTTCATAGTTGTCAGATGCTACTCTTCAAAGATAACTGTTTTCTAAGAAAATGTTTTATCTTTATTTCTTTGGAGGGGAACGGTGAAGTTTTTACACATGCAAGTGAAGAGCTGCCGAGGGGGATGTGGAGGAGAAGCTGCTGCTTTTTCTTTTTTTTAGACTTTTTTATTTATCCTTTTTTTTTTTTTGGTGAGAACACAAGTTACCCTCTTAGCAAATTTCAATTTTACAACAGTATTAACAACTATTTTATACATTGGATCTCAAGAAAAGTCACCACTTTATATATTGGCTCTTAAGACTTTATTCATCTAACTGAAGGTTTGTACCCTTTTACCAACCTCTCCCTCTCCCCCTGCCCCCCAGGCCCTGACATCGCTGACCCATTCTACTTTCTGTTTCTATGAGCTCACTTTTTTTTTTTAATAAAGATTTCACACGTGAGTGAAGCCATGCAGTATTCATCTTTCTCTGCCTGCTTATTTCATTATGCTTATTCCATTTAGCATAATGCTAGGTTTATCCATGTTGTCTCAAATGGCAGGATTTCCCCTTTTTTAAAGGCTGAATATTCCGTTGTATCTGTGTACCACATCTTCTTTACCCATTCATCCATGGACAGACACTTAAGTTGTTTGTACGTCTTGGCAATTGTGAATAATGCTGCCGTGGACATGGGGGTGCAGATCTCTCTTTGAGGTGATGGTTTCATTTCCAGAAGCGGGGCTGCTGCACCACGTGGGAGTTGTGTTTTCACTTTCTTGAGTGACCTCCATACTGTTTGTCCACGGTGGCTGCACCAGTTACATTGCCACCAGCAGTGTGCAAGCGTTCCCTTCACGTGCTTGCCATTGTTTATCTTGTGTCTTTCTGATGGTAGCTATTCTAGCCGAGGTGAGGTGGTATCTCACTGTGGTTTTGGTTTGCACTTCTCTGGTAATTAGTGGTGGTGAGCATCTTTTCATGTACCTGTTGACCATTTGTATGTCGTCTTTGGAAAAAATGTCTATTCAGGTTCTTTGCCCATTTTAAAAATCAGGTTGTTATCAGCTCTTCTTGATCTTAACTGATGTTACTTCTTTTTGTTTTTAACTTTTTTTTACTGAGTTATAGTCATTTTACAAGGTTGTGTCAAATTCCATGATGTTACTTCTTATCTCATTTATGTCTATTAAATTACATTGTTTTTAATCAGCTGGTAAGATTTTAGACAACAAGCTTGATTTGAATTTTTTTTAACTCCTAGGAAATATCTATCATAAAAAAATAAATTAGGCTGCAGTTTAAAATATAAACATGAGTTGAAGGCCAGGTTTAAGGCCTGTTTTGTCAGAGAAACCTTAAAAATCCTATATCTTGAAAAAAGTAGGAATTTTTCATTTGATTCCCATATTTTAAAAAAAAAGTTTTTTTAAAAATGTCATTTCAGTGGCCTTGCTCTATATTTTTCATGATTTCGAGCCTTCTTGATTGGCAGTCAGGTTGCCAGGACTGGAACTTGAGAGCAGGCAGTTTGTGCTGGTGGCAGTGGTTCTGCATGGTGATCTGTCATGGCTGCAGTCATCGCACTTTTCGAAAGCCTGTCATCTAAATGGCCAGAGTGGCATGTGAAAGTCTCAGGTCCCCCGGGTTGCCTCTGTGCTCCAGCCGTGCTGACCGGGCTTGAGTCTCTGGCTGCAGCCCCTCCCTGCGACCCGCTTCCCGGTGGTTCTTCCTGCATGTTCTGGGGTGACGCAAGATAATGCACGCAGGGTCCCCGACCCAGTGAGCACTGTCAGCCCCCTTCCGCACTGTCAGCACCCAGGACGTGGAATGAGCTCTTCGGGGGCAGAGGTGCAGTTGTCTGTGTTTGTTCCCTTAGTAGTCCTAATTGGGGCGGGGGCTGATTTTTTTGTATAAAGCATGCAGTAGTCTGGTTCAGTCCATTGTGGTCTGAACTTCACTCCTGACTTCAGTATCATTTAGTGTTCCCGTGTTGGGTTTCACAGCCCTAGTGTCCTTTGAGATGTTGATGGGTACTAAGGAAGGAAAGAAAAACGGTTGGGGAGAAGGTTCCAGGGTCAAATAAATTTGGCAAATAATATATTCTGGTTTCTTCGTTTTGAAGACGGAGCATAACAAAATAACAAAGACTGAGAAATCCTGTATTAAAGGAAACGTTTAATTTTATCTAATCCAGTGATTTTTCAAGTATTACTTTCAAATAGAATGGGATATTAGTTTTAGACAAACGGAATTTGGGGCGCGTAGTCCCACTCTGCATTCTTCACAGCCGGGGACGTGGGCTGCTTCCCCAGGCTGCGCGCACAGCCGGCCTCCCGCGCACGGGAGGAGCAGAAGTCGTCGCCCTTTCACTCCTACCGTCACAGCCACGGTCCTTTCCTGCCTGTATTTGGATGCCAGTCCCCCGTGCTCCACTTAGCATAAATCTTTGCCTCTCTTCCAGCCCAATTTTGTGAGCATTTTAGCATGCACAAGCTTTTCTCATCTAAAAAGGTTTTACCCCTTCCTCAGTTGTTCCTCGTCAAATACGAGCTTCTTGCTCCCCTTCCCCCAGTTTCAGAGGGCTTGGCTGTGATGGGAACAGGAGTTGGCTCTGCATCCTCGCTTACTAAACCCACTGGACTCTAGCTCCTGACCGCACCGATGCTGTTGGTTTGGTGCTTCGCGTTCACTGCAGCCACCAGCAGGCCCTGCTGTGGTCAGCGTGGGAGGCCAACTGCTTGGCCGCCTGTTCAGTCTCCTTCCTGGCATCCCTTCAGTGTTGCTGTCCTCGTGATCGTGCTGTCCAGGCCTTCGCACCTCCTCTCCTGGGGTTATTATATTCAAGCCCATAGCTTCTTTACCATTGAACTCAACTGACTCTTGAACGTCTCCGTTTTTAACTCCTGTTGGCATCCCCACCCCTTTCTCCACTGCTTCCTCTACCCTTTTAATCACATTGGTGTTGCCATAATTTATCCGGGAACTGTGGGTGAGGAACTCGCGTGTCATGCCTGGCTTTTCTTTCATACCGCTTACATTCACTTATCACCAAGGTATATCAGTTATGCCTCCTTAAGTTCTCTCGAATCCATCTGCTTTTCTGTGCCGTGAGTCTCCCACGGCAATCCAGGCCAGCGTCGTGTGTCACCAGGACTGCTGGAATAGCCTCCCAATCGGTCACCCTGCCTTCAGTCTTCTTGTCCTCCAGTTTGCTCTCTGTACTCGACTTTTAAAGCATAAACCTGTTCTGCACTCCCCAGCGAAAAACCAATCAGTGTCTTAAAGTCTAAACTCTAACCTTGTAGGGGCCTTGCTGACCTAGCCCCTCCTGCCTAGGCGGACCCTTGTCTCGTGACTTGCTGGTTCTGTAGAAGCGCCGAAGTGCTGTGCAGTTGTCTCTTCCTGCTGGCCGGCTGCCTAGTCGGGGCCTCCGGCCTGCTCTTCAGTGCTGGCTTTTCTGGAAAACTGTCACTGGTCTTCCTAATCTGAGTGCCTCCCATTTCCTTTGGTGGCCAGTGTTTACTGAATGAATACTGTGTCCTGGCACTGAACCAAAGCACTGAGGACATAGGGGACATTAAGAGAGGCAGGGTCTCAAATAAAACAAAAAAGCAGCCTCACAGGTATAGAGAATGAACTCGCCGTCACGGGGCCGCGGGCGTGAGGGAGGCGGGCAGAGGGCAGTACCGTGGTAGGGGAGCAGGAGGCACAAACTGCTGGGTGGAAGACGGGCTCGGGGGTGTATTATACAACACGGGGAACAGAGGCAACGTTTTGTAATAACTGTGAATAGAAGGTAACCTGTAAAAATTGTATAAAAATTTTAAAAATTAAAAAAGAGAGGCAGGGTCTCTGTTCTTAGGAAGCATAGACTGCACGGTAAAGGCTTGCTTAGTTTCTTCACGATATCAAATGCTGTCTGCGGGAAGCTCGTCACTTGAGCTGAATGTTGCCTGTGAAAGAAGTTCAACAACTGCTGAAAGGTCGAATTCGATTGCTTTGATCTTCCACGCTGATTTTTTTTTCTACTTTTATCTTTAGTCTTAGGTATAACTAGAGTGTATTCCTTCAAGCAGCTATTATACTTTTCGTAAATTATACACCTGAATTTTCTTAGAACTGTTTTATGCTTTTGTTGCTGTTGCTGACCTTCTTCAGTGCTTGATAGTTACCTTTCTCTGCTGGCAGTTTCAGCTTTGGTTTTAGATTAATGTTGGTCATATTCGTCTCTAGGACCCCTACGGCGTAGCAGTGGGTGGAACAGTGGGACACTGCTTGTGCACCGGGCTGGCAGTAATTGGAGGAAGAATGATAGCACAAAAAATCTCTGTCAGAACTGGTAAGTTGTTTGTTTGTTTTTTTAACTAGAAAGAAAGTATCATTTAACTCTTAAAATTACTAAGAAAGATTAGAAAAAGGGAGTTTGTGTCTTTTGAAGTAGACTTGGTCTTTGTAATGACAGTCTCTTAGAAGTCCCATGTATTGGTCCTGCTGTTGTAAACAGGGACTGTTTTTCACGTGCATAGATGTTAATAAAATACAAATCATCTAAAAACATTACTGGATTCATAGTAGCTCTTTGTCAACATATTTAAGTCGGTGAAACAATCATGTGGAAATATGAGAACTCTTTAGCTTTAGAAATGTCTCTTACAAGATTGGGAATCATAGGTGATCACATTTACTGATTCTGCTGAAAATATCCTGGTAGTTCTTAGAAGATGGAATAAAAAGTCTCTTCGCTAGTCAGAAATTGTTGAAAAAGTTTTTGTAATTGTTTTAAGATGAATTACAGTTCTATTTTTGTGTGTCAGCACTCTCATTTTAATATAATTGTTATTAAAACTGCTGGAAAATAAACTGAGTCAACTGTTCAGAGTTGGGCATGTTAAATATTTTGCTGTGGAAATGAGGTTTAAGTGTTTCAAATTTGTTTTTAATGTTTAGTAGATTAGAAAAATAAAGGGCAACGTCTTAGCTTATTTAGGGGAATTTTGCTTTATTTAACTTTTTTCTGTTCTCTTACAGTGACAATCATAGGAGGCATTGTATTTTTGGCGTTTGCATTTTCTGCACTATTTATAAGTCCCGAATCTGGTTTTTAACAAGCTATTATTGTTCATTTGTATTTAGTTTAAGATAGGCAACTTGTTATGTACATGGTGTATATTATAACTAAAAGTGATGGAAAATACTGTATTTTGTAGCATTGATTTGTGAGTTTGACCCACTTAATGAAAGTATTATGTATGTCCAAAAAAAGAAATAATCATTGATTCTATTTGCAACATGGGTTTTTAAAAGAAACCTGATATCTAAGTGTGGATTTTTCTTTTCTCCAGCATAATGATGTTTTAATATGGTCTCTATTTTTTAAAGTTTTTTTGGGCAGGGGGGAGCAGGGGACATACGGAACCATTGTGCAGTGGGGTCTGCCACTTGATTTTCTTTCAGCACCGGCCCCTTTTTAAGGAATATAAAATTCCTCCTGGATCACTGAGGTGTTTTAAGATGTTTACCTTTAAAATTTTTCATGGGGGAAAGAGTGAATTAATTTCTATCTTTTAAAACATTTTCATAAGCCAGTAAGCAGTGATTTAATCAGAAATGTTTCCAAAATCCTTTACCTTTCTCAGGTAGCAGTTTCAACTTTGGTTTTAATTAGGTTTTTTTTTTTCTTTTTCTTTTTAAAGAGCAAGAGAAATGTATCACTGTTATTTATATCAATGACATGACAACAAGAATTGTTTGCCAGGTCCATTCTTCCTCCTTTTTTTAATTGGGTAGGAAACCCAATATAATAACAGTCAATATTTGACCATGTGGAATTACCAAATTAAAACAGAATACTATGAGTGTATTCGTATTTTTTCTATATTGAATAAACAATGTAACATAGATACAACATAAATAAAAGTGGTATGACCAGTGCTTGTTTTTCCTTGTGTTATGCCAGTTCGTGACATCCTGATTTATCAAAGTCATATTAATATTTATAAATGAATTTCTAAAGTTGATTATTTTTAAAAAGTAGCCAAGCATTGTTCTAAAGCACTGTCTTAACCCTCACACAGTTCTATGAGGTAGTGGGTACTAATACAAAGTTAAAAAAGGAGTTAACTCACCCAAGGCTACCTGGTAGAGCAGGGAGTCAAACCAGGCAGTTTGGCTCTACACCCAATCGGATACTGTAAGGCTGCTTCACGTGACCAGCACAGCTTCAGTCATCACTGTCACTGAAGTGTGTTCAAACGTAACTGACTGTATTCGGTCCAAGCAGCGTAACTGCTTTCTCCCAGCCTGATTTCTGTCACCATAGACAGTAACAATGCCATCAATAGCCTCTTTAAACCTGAGCAATAGTTCTGTAGAAACTCCCATGTGTGCTGTGTGTGGGGTGTAACAGACCCAGAGCAATTCAGGTGTCCTGAGCTACCGCCAAAGTCCACAAGGCACAGTGACCTGCAGCTTGATGAGACTGAAGAGCCGGGTCAGTCGCCCAGCACGCAGTGCAGCTGTCGGCCTGCAGCAGTGCCTGTGTGCGGGGAGGACAGCTGCCCACCACTGGGAAGAGAGCCAATGTGGCTGTCAGGTAAAAAAGCAGTAGTTCACATATGGATGACGAAGTCATGTTTAGAAACTTTTAAGGCGTTCTCTACCATAAAAAGTGTGTTATTATAGGGGAGAAAAATACAATGTCCATGCGTCAAGATAAACACTTCAAAGAAATCTCAGGTTAAGTCCCCACATTACACCATCATGCTCAGTAGTTAAATACTCAGTACTGCTGTAGATTATTACAAACAACAAGTGAAAGATTAACATTATTTCTTTTCCAAGAATAGTGAAAAAGGGTAATTCTTTGTTCGAAAGTAGCTAGTACGCACCATCATGGCCCACACCCGGCAGGGCGGCGACTGGTCCCAGCACTAGCATGATAGCAAGTAACAGTGTAACTCACGGAGGCACCAGTCTTGTGACAGGACAAATACTCGGAGAACTCGGCGGTGCAGACCCAAGCTACACGGTAAAAACTGCTAATACAGTTACACTCCATTGCTGAAGAGAAGAAAGGAAAGTGTCATTGTAGTGATTTTAAAATATTTAATAGTCTTTCTTTAAAATCCAAAATAATGTGATTCTTACAAGTTATGTGCCACATAAAGGAGGTGTTTTTTATTTTTTTGAGAAATGCAGGTGATACTGGAAAACAGCACTGAGGTATTTTTTTATTTTTAAAACTGAATAAGGAAACAAAGTGTGAATCTAATCACTTTTACATTTACAAAAAAAACCCAATGCTACTGCTTGGCTCTCCTGCTATAATTTTAGGTTCTGAATACATTACAAGAGTCTACGGGAAAGAGCATTATAATTGTACCTGTAGTTTTAAAAAACTACACACATCATAACCTGGAAAAATGATTATACAGCAAGAGGCCAGAGTGGAGGTAGGCTAATAACACGTTTTACCTCTTTCTCAAAGGATAGCTTTGAAAAACAAGTGTAACCAATTGTAACACCAAATGAAAATGGCAATATTAAATTGGTAACAAAATGATCCACATTTTACACAACATTGGATTTCCAAACATTGCTCATGAAAATCAGAGAACCTAATATAGCACCGTTGAAACCATGCATTATCCCATCGTGCTTCCGTGTAATTTAGGATCTGGGCCAAAGACAACACTTGGACACTGTCAGTCTTATTTTTGTAAATCAGTTTGGATTTCAATTAAATGTTCACTTTAGGAAAAATAGGTATTCTTCTTTCAGTATCAGTTAGCCATTTATAGCTCCACCCTCGGAAGGAAGAATGACAGGCTGTATCTAATATTAATTTAAAACCAAGAACCAAGCAGTAAGGACACATCAATGTGAAGGGTAGCACACTAAGAACCACACAGAACATTAGAAAGGATGTGGTGTATGTTTTTCCAACTACCAATTGATGTTAATAATTAAAAATTCACAGAGATAAAACTTTTTTTGCACTAACTGGTTTCAATACAGCACAGATTTTTAACTTGTCTTTGGGCTTCAGTCTTTACATAGAGTGTGCAAGTGGCAGGCTGAGGACCTCCCCCAGCTCACACTGCAATAAAACAGATTTCAGAATGGTCTAAATTATAGCTCTGGCCTCTGGCTGACATCTGTAAAGGAGAACAGCATTTCCTTGCCCCCCCCCCCTTTTTTTGCTTGATGCTGATTGTCTAGCTATGTAATACATCAGTCTTGAAGATAATACAGCTTTTCCTGCATTCTAATTCTTTAGTATTGGCACAACCATTGCCAGCAGTGAACCTGCACCAGTAGAGGCCAACTCAAAACACATCATAAAACATCTTAATGTCGTTTTTAAAGCGATGTCACAGTTTGTTTCCTCAGAAATTTAAAAGCATACATTTGAAAACATCACATCTTCAATTTAACTCTCAGAGTTAAGAAACACTTTTTATATCATTAAATCCAACTTGTGGTTGACGTGCTTTAATCACCATTCTCTAAGGGATCCCAAAAGCTAGAGTGTGCTCTGTACCTGGCCTGTGGGACTCAAGAGCTACACTAGGAGCCCGAAGGTGGAGAATTCTGTTCCAGTGCAGACCAGCAAGAAGTACCCCCAAATTTCTAGGCTTCAAATGGTCAAACACTGCTTTATTGGGCAGTGCTGTGTATGGAGGTTTGATTTTACTTTGTGTTTAAAGGGCCAAGCAACATTACACTATATAAAGACAGCACACATTTTTTGAAGAGTTTGCAGTGTGTATACATTGTTCTACCTCTATGTTTAAGGACTTTAAGTGGATTTTAATATGGATATGATAGTGATGGCCATTAGATGATGTTTCAGTAACATTTTTTCAAATGGGCAAAACAGAGGCAACGTGTGCCTGGGTTCTTCTCTGTCATAATGGCCTTTGGCTGTGTTGGGGAAGTTATCACATAAAAAATGCCCATAAAATAGAAAAGGCAGCAAGTGAAACTAGAAAAAGGTTGGAGCTACACGAAGCAGATTTCAGAGGAGTTACTTTTACTTTTTCTTTCTCTTAACTAAGTTGAGAGTAGGAGGGGAGCACTGGGGCGTCTGGATTGGGCTCCACTGTGTCCTGAAGGGAAACAGATGACGAGGGCTAGGGACTGCACCCCGGGTAAGAAGAACCAGTCCTCTAAGGATTACGAGGCAAAACAAAACCACAATTAAATACATGACACTGAGATCACTCTGAGAAAACAGAACACAAAGATACTTAAAAATATAAATAAATACATTTAGCCATTTTTATTCAAGAAACCCAGAGAACTGCTTTCAAAGCAATTGCTTCTTTAAAAACCACTTTCTGAATTCTTCCATAAATACTTACTATTTTGATTGTCACTTAAATGCAGCACCTCAGTGTTTGCTGGTGGTGGTAATGGAATTTCACTTAATAATGTCTTTTCATAAACTATATCCTATTTCACTAAACATTTCCCTAGGAAAACCCAGGCAGCTTACAAAATATTGTTAAATACTCAAAACCAGAACCTGCAAAGTATTATTTTATTTAAGAAAAACAAGGAATGTAGTGTTAAATTATGACATGGGGAAATATGCAACAGTCACATGGAAAGAAAGTTTTAATTTTTCAATATGCACGTTTGCTTAATTTCTTGTGAGCTGTTCAATACTGTTTTAAAATCCTGAATTAATGAATTATACCAACAAAATTCATCCCCAGTGTTTCCACAGGAGATCTTAAAATAAGATCAATTTTTTTTTCCTTTTCCTCAACCAAAGTAGTCTTTCTCAGTCCTTTTTGTGCAAAAATATTACAAGAGCAATTCAAATGGAAACACTGAAATGACATGCCAACATTTCAGAGCACATTAAAAACACCCAGAATAATTCTTGAAATTATTATATTCTAAAATATTACTACCAATCACTTTTAGGTTAGTTCTATACATCTGTTCACACTGATGCAATTTTCCTAGACCTCTGAAAATAAACAGGCTCATTGGTCTCTTTCGGTGTCCACACAATAGGCAAGATAGGTTTACAATAGTGTCTACACAGAACTGGGCACCTACAATCTCTCGACTCCACCACATTCAAAACAGAAGTCAAAGTTCATTTGGCTACCTTGAAATCACTCCCATAAACCTACTATGGTTCACTGGATCTAAACATTTCTCAGAAATGTGTCATTTAAAAATTTCACCTAAGTGATGATTTGGGGATCCTTTAGAAATGGTTATTTATAAGATAATAAACTTTATCAAAATGAATAATTGCAATAAAGTGCTTATTACATTTCAAAATGATGCTTCCAGACTGTGGTGTGTTGTTTGCGAAATGTGTGCTATTCATATACAAAGGATCCCCAGGCGTGAGAGTTGGGTCTTCTCACCTGTCTCAGAAAGCAGCAGCACTATGTTTTGGTAGGCTGACGGTAGGCACGTTACCCATGCGGATGAGGCTATGCTAGTGCTATGGCAAAAGGGGAGTAAATGAGAAAAGTGGGAGGCATGTGGAGGGTTCCTACTATATTCATAGTTATATACAAATATATTAAATATACTATAAAAATAGTCAACTCTTTTCCTTTGCAATTACTTCAGAAGCTCCTTTTAGAAGAACACTCACCCACCCCAAACAAAAGGCTCTTTCTCCAATCACCACTAAACCGGCAAGTGCCTTTGTGCTGTTTCTTTTCCTCCATTTAAAAATTCCGATCAGCTTATTCCTGGCTAGACTCACTCAGCAATAGTAATATCCAGTGTTTACACCTTCCAACACTGACTCCTGAGGGACTAAGAACAGGGTCACAGACATTGGAAAGGTTACAGACTTGAATGAGTTTCATACAAATGTTTGTCAACAAACTTTTGATTAGCAGAGAAATACAGGAAAAGAAAAGTAGAAATGATCAATATCAAAGTAAAAT